CCTGAACCCGGGAGGCGGAGCTTGCAGTGAGCTGAGATCTGGCCACTGCACTCCAGCCTGGGCGACAGAGCGAGACTCCGTCTAAAAAAAAAAAAAAAAAATGGTTTCTCGTTTGTAAACCTCTTCCTGACATACGTAGCTTGTAAACCCACTTTCCTGACATTTTTTATCTCCTTCTTTTATAGGTACTTCCTATTTAACAGACATCGTGTGGTGGGCTGGCACAATCGCAAGTAAGTAGCCTGTGTGGCGAAGTCTGGTCTTTTCCTTTCTTAGAATCCATCACTGGTCTGGGCAGGGCTGCAGCGGCTGGGCTAGGGTGGCTCTGTTCTTTGGAAGAGGGTGTCACGTGGCCTCTCCCCGGACCCTAAGCATACCTTTCAGTTCAGATGTCCCTGCTCCCCTTCCTCCCAGGATGAGAGTGCAGAAGGACAACTTAGGAGCTGGTGGAGGCCCCTACTGCCCACGATTAGCCGTGAATTCAGTCCAGGCTGATCTGTCTGGAGCCCGAAGAAATTAAAACAGCTCCTGCTCACTCGTGTAGTTGGGCTGTTGGCATTTGGTGAAATTCCATGTTAGGCCGCCTTGTCTGTCTCAGCACAGTTGGTTTAACAGAGAGTTTCATGACTCAAAGATCAGGTCATGTGCTATAATGTAAAGATAAATAATATTATTAAATGAGTTCAGAACTCTAAAGGTATTATAAAGGACAATTGTCTCTGAAATTCAGAAACATTGTGTTTGGCCAGGCATGGTGGCTCACACCTGTAATCCCAGCACTTTGGGAGGCTGAGACAGGTGGATTGTTTGAGCCTAGGATTCAAGACCAGCCTGGGAAACATGGCAAAACCCTGTCTGTACAAAAACAAAAATTAGCTGGGCATGGTGATATGTGCCTGTTTCACAGCTATTTGGAGGCTGAGGTGGGAGGATTGCTTCAGCCTGGGAGGTAGAGGCTGCAGTGAGCCAAGATCACGCCAGTGCACTCCAGCCTGGGTGACCAAGCAAGACTCTGTCTCAAAAGAAAAAAAAGAAACATCATATACTTTGTCACATTTGTCTTTTAATACGACATTACGTGGCAATACCAGTTCTGTTCCTTGAAGAGCTCCTCTAAGCTCTGTCCGGGTGATGTCCTGCTGCAGTCTTGTGTGGCAGTGCTGTATCCTCTTGCTATGCCAGTGGCCTGTCACCGTGGCCAGCTGCCTATGCCGGAGTAGATCCCAGACCACTAGAGGGTGCACAGGAAGTTCTGCCTGATTTGTGTGAAAACAAGGATGTGTTAGGAGAGTGGAGATATGCCCAGTGCCACGCCCATTTCAGTCACTGCTGGTTAGGTTCGGCATTTTCCATGGAGAGCTGAACCTACTCACCCGACCAATGGGACCAGTGAAGGTGTGGGGCCTGACCTCTGACCCATGACCCCTTAAATGTGCAGATGACACCCCAGATGTGATTCTTCACAAGTAATGGGAGTGAAGTAGCCCTTTCGGAGCAGAGCCTTGCAAAATTCAACTCTGATCAGTGCTAAACGAGAGCTCTGTAATTGCAAGCGGTATCCTTGTGATTTTCTTGACAGTGGCTGTTGGCCAGATTGGAAACTTCCTGGCTTACACGGCGGTCCCCACGGTCCTGGTCACTCCCCTGGGCGCCCTCGGAGTGCCGTTCGGGTGAGAGACAAGATTTTGTTTGGTGTTTAATGTGTAGTGTAGATATAACAACTTTTCATTTTAAATGTTTCTGTTAAAGTAATAAGAGCAAAGTTGTAACAGCAGGTAGATCTTCAGGCCAGGCAGAGTGGCTCACGCCTGTAATCCCAGCACTTTGGGAGGCCAAGGAGGGTCAATTACTTGAGGTCAGGAGTTTGAGACCAACCTGGCCAACATGGCGAAACCCTGTCTCTACTAAAAATACAAAAAATTAGCCAGGCGTGGTGGCGACCACCTGTAGTCCCAGCTACTCGGGAGGGTGAGGCACAAGAATTGCTTGAACCTGGGGGGCAGAGGTTGCAGTGAGTTGAGATGGCGCCTTAGCACTCAAGCCTGGGAGACAGAGCGAGACTCTGCCTGAAAAAAAAGAGAGAAGATAGATCTTCGGTATTCTACTCTGTACTGTTTAATTTTATCCCTTCAAATATAGTTCTGGGTATTAACCCTTTTCTTAGACATTTAGTATATTTGAAATTCTAACTCATTCATGCATCTCAGTGAATCTGCTGCTCGCATGCTTCTGGCCGCTGTCCTGGAGTACATCTTAGAGACTAGAGAGTCTTCTGACACCTTGGCACGTTATTCTGAGAACTCGTTAAGCAAAATGAGTCACTTGGTGTTTTATTGGGGTGCTTAGCATTCCTTGCTGGATGCCGGCCAGTCCCCACCTCAGCCCAGGTACAGAGGTTGGGATGAATAACACACGGCCCCGGTGGATGTGGAATAGGGTTTATGACTGACGCAGTCAGCAGCACATGGATTTTCTTAGGAGAAGGGCCCGGGTTTGGTTCTCAGTGAGATAAGAGGGAGGGGGACCTTTGGGGTTTTTTGTTTTGTTTTGTTTTGTTTTGAGGCGGAGTCTCGCTCTGTCGCCCAGGCTTAAGTGCAGTGACGTGACCCCAGCTCACTGCACGCTCCGCCTCCCGGGTTTACGCCATTCTCCTGCCTCAGCCTCCTGAGTAGCTGGGACTACAGGTGCTGCCACCTCGCCCGGCTAGTTTTTTGTATTTTTAGTAGAGACGGGGTTTCACCGTGTTAGCCAGGATGGTCTCGATCTCCTGACCTCGGGATCCGTCCGCCTCGGCCTCCGAAAGTGCTGGGATGACAGGGTTGAGCCGCCGCGCCCGGCCACCTTTGGGTTTTTATTGTTAGGGGGTGGGGTGGACTGGACTGGGGGTGGTTTGCATGCTTGGGCCGGGCTGGCATGGACTGTAGTTTTTGCCCATGCCAAGTGACCGAGGACTCGGGTCTGAGGGCTCTAGGGACCCAGGGTGTGTGCAGGCTCTTTTTTAAGATTTTAATTTAATTTTCTTATTATTACATTTTAAACATTTTATTTCTCCATTTTAAATCATCCTTTTAATTGATATACGTGAGTAAGCTTCTTATCAGGTTGCCCGAATGTGGGGCAAAGGGGAAAGGGCAGGGAGTGGGAACTTGAGGGCTGCAAGCTATCAAACATTGCAACTGGAGTCTCTACTTACTGTGAAATGATTTATGAGATACTTATTAAATAACATATATCCTTGTGTGAACCTGTTTATATGCTGATTTGTCTTTGAAGAAATCATTATAAATAGAAATAGGGTAGAAGAGAAATAAAATCCAAGTTTCTAACTCATGGATACATTGGTTTTCTGCTGTATTCCAGACAGACGCCCAATTCCTTGCAGAGAAGTGTGTCCGTGATGGATGTATTGAAGTTTACACCTTAGAGTCCCTTAGGCATTGGGGTTCTGTGACCTAAATACCACGTTTTTCACATGTGACGCTTGGAGAGTGTGTGTGGGGCACATTTTTCTCGAGAACACATACACCGCTATCGTGTGGGTTGGCGTCACTTTGCGTTTTGGATGGCTCTGAGGCGCTGCGAGGGCAAGAGTGTTCTCACTTTGGGAATCACTCCTCAGCTTCGGCCACCCGTCCCCCGAAAGATAATCAGGCAGATAAACAACCTGACCTGGTGATCTGGGCATGTGGCACATTGAATGCACATATACTAAAATGCTTTGCTCAGTTAATTTCCTTAGAACTGTTCTCGTGCACATTGATGATTAAGTCACTTTGCCAGAAACGTTTGCTGCTCCACGTCTGCAGGAGGTGGTATTCCCATGTCAGATGGGATTCTGGATAAAAAGCCTGTCTTCAGCTCGGAGTCCCAGGAAGACCTTTTCTTTTAAACAGAATAAAACTAAAATTAATTTGGAAAAAAAATCTAAGATGATTATCAAAGTGTGCATATATGTATGTATATATGTTTTGTTTTGTTTTTTGGTTTTTTTTTTTTGAGACAGTCTCGCTCTGTCGCCCAGGCTGCGCCCAGGCTGGAGTGCAGTGGTGCGATCTCGGCTCACTGCCAGTTCTGCCTCCCGGGTTCACACCATTCTCCTGCCTCAGCCTCCTGAGTAGCTGGGACTACAGGCGCCCTCCGCCACGCCCGGCTAATTTTTTGTATTTTTAGTAGAGACGGGGTTTCACCGTGTTAGCCGGGATGGTCTGGATCTCCTGACCTCGTGATCTGCCCGCCATCCTCCCAGAGTGCTGGGATTACAGGCCTGAGCCACTGCTCCCGGCCGATATGTATGTATATATGTATATTTTAAAAGCAGTTCTGTTCTTGATAGTGGGATGGGGTTGCTGGAATTACATAGAAACAAATGAAAAGAATGTGGCACTGGAAAAATAAGTCTGTGTAGCAGTGAATAGAATAGAGAGCTCCCAAATAGGTTCACTTATTTCTGTAATAGTGTAATGTATGATAAAGTAATCGTCTGCACATGCTGTGTCTAAAAAGAGGTTTAAAAAACTTTTGGGAAATATTTTCAAATTACAGAAAGGACACAGGATTAAGAATAACCAAAGCGGCCGGGCGCGATGGCTCACGTCTGTAATCCCAACTCTTTGGGAGGCTGAGGCGGGCAGATCACGAGGTCAGGAGATCGAGACCATCCTGGCGAACACGGTGAAACCCCGTCTCTACTGAAAATACAAAAAAAAAAAATTAGCCGGGCGTGGTGGCGGGCGCCTGTAGTCCCAGCTTCTAGGGAGGCTGAGGCAGGAGAATGGCGTTAACCCGGGAGGCGGCGGAGCTTTCAGTAAGCGGAGACCACTGCACTCCAGCCTGGGCGACAGAGCGAGACTCCATCTCAAAAAAAAAAAAAAAAAAAGAATAACTAAAGCAATGCCCATCTCCCCTTACCAGACACACCTGCTGCTAAACATCTGACCCACTTGCCTCATCATACACTTTCTCTGTATCTGGGTGTCTCAGTCTCAGCACTGTGGATGTTTGAAGCCAGGTAACTCTTTGTTGAGGGAGGCGTTCTGTGCATTGTATGGTGTTTAGCAGCATCCTGGCCTTCACCTCCCAGATGCCGGTAGCACTCAACTTCCCCAGATGTCTCCAGACATTGGCCGATGACCCTGGGGGGCCCTGGTCGAGAACCACTATTCTATATGAATGTGATGTGACTGTTTTTTCCTGTTTTTTTTAAAAAATCCATTTTAGCATAAGTTATGATTCTTTACCCCTAAACACATCAATTAGTATTTTCTGAGACTAGAGATACTCAGATACTCTCCTAATAACCACAGTACAATGATCAATTTCGACAAATTCAACCTTGTTATGATACATGCATCAAATCAGCCTCCATATTCCAGTTTTGACAATTGGCCTGTTATGCCGTTATTTTATATCATTATCTTTTATACCATTATTTTTCTTCTAGTACAAGATCCAGGCCATGTGTGGTGTGATTCATGCCTGTAATCCCAGCACTTTGAGAGGCCAAGGCAGGTGGGTCACTTGAACCCAGGGAGACCAGCCTGGCCAACATGGCAAAACCGTGTCTCTACTAAAAATACAAAAATTAGCCAGGTGTGGTGACACACACCCGTAATCCCAGCTACTTGGGTGGCTGAGGCACCAGAATTGCTTGAAGCTGAGAGGTGGAGGTTGCAGTGAGTTGAGATCGAACCACTCCTCCAGCCTGGGTGACGGAGCAAAACTCTGTCCCCTCCCCCCAAAAAAAAGATAGAGAAAAAATAAAGCTCATTGAAAAAAAAAAACTATGAACCAATTCTCTTATGAATATAGATGGAGCAATTTTGAACAAAATACTAACCAATTGGATCCAACAATATATAAAAACGATTATACAAATGGGATTTATCCCAGGAATGCAAAGTAGATTTAGCATTGAAAATAAATTAGTGTAATACACCACAGCAACAGAATAATCACCATGTGACCATCTCAAAAGACACACAAAGATTATGTAGTAAAATTCAATACTCTTTTATGATGAAAACTCTCAGTATGCTAGGAATAGAAAATAACTTCCTAAACTGACAAAGGGCCTCTGTGAAAGTACCCCAGCTAACATCATACTTAATGGTATGAGAGTTGATGTTTTCCCCTTAAGATCAGGAAGAAGAGGCCGAGACGGGTGGATCATGAGGTCAGGAGATCGAGACCATCCTGGCTAATACAGTGAAACCCCGTCTCTACTAAAAAATATAAAAAAACTAGCCGGGCGAGGTGGCGGGCGCCTGTAGTCCC